CGCCCACCATGAGACGAAGTCAGCTTCTGTTCTTTTATGAATGGAGATTATTTTCTCCCTCTGTATTCCCCAAGTGGAAGTCGAAATATGAGATATTATCAGATTTGTACGTAGTTCAACTACTCTACTTAACTTGCTGTAGCTCAACTGCTTTTTTGAGTAGTTTAGTAACTTTAAAATACATTTATATTTTGGTAATTAGTAGTTTACTTATTTAATTTTTCGCAGTAACTCCTATTTAAATTACAAATTACATTCGAATTTTTGTGGTTGTTTGTCTATCACCAAACATTACTGCAGAAAAGAGATAAGTTGTTGAAAGATCAGGTGATATTTGGAAAGAGGAAAAAGCATACGGCGTAGGAATGGGGAAGAGGGGGAATGGTTTGGACAGTCCGACCCCCCCCCCCCTTCCCCCCCCGCCCTGCAACAGCACTGCTACGACGCGTGGGGAGCGAATAGACACGACCCAAGACAGGCCGAGTAACTGCGAGGTTAGCGCTGAAGACTGGCGTTTCTCAGTTTCACGAAGTTCAAGGAGACGACCCATTTGAAGAAAGGGCTGGTCGCCGCTTCTCCACAGCGTAGAAACTCTCGCCCACTACAGGAGGTGTACACGCTGCATCCTCACTCGAAGGAGACAACAAAATGCAGCACCTGCTCTGAAACTCGAGTGCTCCCGTAGTTTGTACTGTACTCGAAGAATCGCGTGCTAAAGGGCAACGACGAGATTGCCTTTTTCGTTGCCTTTCCTCCCAAAACTAAGAATATGCATGTCTTCAAAGATTCAAAGATCGTTCGATAAACCTTAATAATTCCCCAAAACTTTTTATATGAAAAATACTTTATATACATGATACTTAAAGCACTACTGTTTAGAAACTTGTACTTTGCTTGAAGTGAATTCTCTGAACAGGTACTTGCACTGTCCGAGCAAAATTAAACTCCCGACTTTAATGTACAGTCCCCGAGTTTGAAAACAAAAAATGGCGTATCGTCGTATGAAAACGCTCTGTTTCGCGACGTCATCTTGTCATTTCTCTTAGTGCAGTAAAGGCGGCTATAGGACCGACACAAATAAGTGTCTTATGTGTTGATTGTGTCAAATAGCTCGCCAGCGAGAGTAAAACTACAGCTCTGTGGCAACTTGACCTTATACAATATTTGCTGTCATATCCGTAAAAAACTGATGCACCTCCGGTTGCCCCTGGAGCAAAGCATATCAGCTAAAAAAGCACTGTATAGGGAATGAAAGGGCATCATGAAAGATTGTGTTAAAATTGGTTGCAGTACTTTGAAATATATTTTATTTATGAACGTTACTTCAAGTACATTGCGCCCGGTGTACTTAATACTTTACTTGAAGTACGTAACCTTTGATTGACTTTGTACTTTACTTCAAGTACTTTAGATGTAATTTAAGCAGCACTGTAAACAAGAAAACACGTCTAAATGTTAACCTGAGAGAGTGCTAAACCTCAAAGTAGAAATTACACATTCGCAGTACACCATTGACCAAACAAACAAAATAGTGCAAAACAATTTGGCACGCAGCAGCAGAACCAGCTATTAAAGCCTTTCTGTTAAAAAAACAAGCCGATTCATATTTGGCTAGCACAACTTGGCTAACGGATCAAAACCCCTGTACTTCTTTTTTACCATAAAAACTCAAAGTACTTTTGACGTCAATATTCAGTAGCCTAACTTAATTACGTTTTAAGTAACTTCTACATCTCTGGATAATATACACCGTGTTTTTTTCAGCCGCACCCAATTTCTAACAAAATGAGAGTTGCATTAGGACTCCTTTAAATTTTTATTAGTTTGCCAAGTTGTCGACGACCAAAAACAAGTTGTTCCTGCCAATAAGTGGCCAATGAGCCTATATATTTTAGTTAACTTTTTCAATGAATAATTTTAAAGACCATATTGCATTTACAAAATCGATGCCCAAGCTCCAGGTTATAAACTCTAACCGCAACGGGTATTAAACGTGCAACATTTTAAGCGCTACCGGCCAAAATATATTAGTTCCGCAGGCTTCCTCAAACCTGACACTAATGTAGAAAATAGTGACAGCGATGTAAATATTTCTGCTCTCGCGTAGCATCAGAGTAACGATTATTGCAGTATGATTAACTTTTCCTTGCGCTTTGCGTAAGGTTTAAAGTTTGGCGCCTGCTGTTAGCTTTTCATTTTATCCTCGTCGCCTCATCACGCAGGCACCGCGTTGCGTCCCTTGCGTTTTTATCGATATGATAAAGGCTGTTCGACAAAATTGTGCAAATAGCCTTATGGATTGGTAAACCCAAATCATTCGCAGGGTCTGCCCATGAAAACACAGCAGAATCGGCTCGGACAGCAGGCGCCAACATCAGACGCCAAAGTTTACAGCTGACAGCGAATGCTGACACCCACATCACATGTAACATCGTTACTCTGACGCTACGCAAGGAGAGGTAGGGACGTTATCTTTTGTCTAAATTAGTTTAGGTTTAAAGAAGCTCAAACAACTAAAATAACTTGCCCAGTAGCGCCCAAATGCTTACAAGTTTATTGCGGCTTTGCTGTTGAGCATACAATTTAAAGCTGGGCCATCAATTTTGTAACTGCAATATGCCGTCTAAAGGCCTTAAATAATAAAGTATTAAAATATATTCGTTAATTAGCCGCGTAATTGCACAGACAACGTCGTTTCTAGTGGTCGGCAAGTCAGGCAATCTAATGCAAAAATAAAAGTGTATAAATACATTTTTTTTTGTTTTTAATAAACGATATTTGCATAGTCAAATTATTTCTGACACATACTTACACAGCAAACGTGCAGCAACTCGGCAATAATATAGTACGTTGCGAGCCATTCCGATACCAACTTCTCACGATTTTTATAAAGTTAGTGTATTTCTTCAATGCACGATTTATCTAAAAAGTGCATTGTTATGTGTCCAGATTCAAATTAAATGTTCATTTGGCATTTCGCGTAACCAAACATATAAATAGGTTATTTAGTCTAAACGTTTAAAAAAAGATGAGCACCGTCACGAAGGTAAGACGTTTATCGAGCAATATTTTTGTCCCTAGAGCAATATTTAAGTGTCGTAGATTTGGTCTTTCTTTTGAAACGAAATTAAATGTTTTTTTGGTGAAGGCTGAACCACTGCCAGTCGGCCAATGTAAGAAAAACTGAAGTAAACATTCAAAACAAAATTAACTTTAATGGAACTACTCACTATACCCTTGCTTAAGTTATGTTCTTTTTTTCAAATTGAGATCCTGTTCGAAAGCGTAAAACAAATGCATTATATATAATGGCATTCGTGGAGAACCAGTTTCAATTTTATTAAGCAAATGAGAAAGTAAACGGAAATAAATACCGGCAAGAGCCATATCCTTTCCGTCTTCGAGGAGCGCGGATAAGGGCATTTATTGTGACGGAAAGAACCTTGGGTTGAAATAATATTTTATGGGACTGCCTCAAACTGACAGTTGAACTTGAACATATGACGTTTTGTTGACAGTTTAGGATAACTGTGAGTACATTTAGAGAACCTTATGCCAGTTTAACATACCGCTGTCATTTATAAAACCGCATCCCGCGACATTTAGCATGTGGTCGGTGGTTTTGCGCGTTGTTTGGCGCCTTTAACATTTCGTAGCGTCAGTGTAAGATTGATTTTCTTCATCGTCGTGTCGCATCTTTACAGTGAAAATTTATTTTAGTGACAAGCAGGCAGATGCGTTGTGCCGACAATTTTCGCGTGTTATGATTAATATTGTCAAATAAGAAGGAAGGTGGTGTCTTTAGCATTTCCCTCTTCAGAAATATGACGTAGGAAGGCGAATCCCAGAGCAAAAATAACAAAAAAAAACAAATAGTGAAAACATCAAGTTTTGAATAATTCTGCGGTGGCGTAGCCTTTTCCATCTTTAATGAAGGAAAGACTCCACAGGTTATTAAGACATTTCAGTACTGTATAAATATCCGCAAAGTTCACAGAATATTTTACCGGCAACGGCTGCTCGCTTCATAATGTATGAAGGCGTGTGGTTTGTACTCACAGTAATGCTAACAGCATGCTTTGGAGGTGAGTGCCAATGTGACATGAGTGTGGATGTTCAGATATAGGATAAATTGAATATACGATGTCGACGATTTAATGACAGCTTACGTGCATCCTAATGTTCGTCCTTGAAGGCACTCTGTTTTTAGATGAATACCTGCTCTTAATAACATATTTGTACTCAATGATCTTAAGTCTTTTCATTGTGGTAAAGCATGAAAGTAAACTTGTATCTGCGTTAAATAAAAAAAGGCTTCATTTTTTTATTTCAATATTTATGAATAAATGTCACGCATTTCGCTGATTCTGGACGTAATTTCCTCCGATACTACGTTCACCCCAAAGCAATATTTTTATTTACCTCTCGTACTGAATTTGTTAGAGTATGAGGTAACGATTTATATAAACCGCAAATAGAAAAGGCACCCTTTATTTAATAACGTGAAACGTATTATTTCCACAGTGCTTTCCGCCCCCCTCGAAGAAGCAGGAGTTAGTCGAAAATTTGCTAATACTTGGACGTGGTTTTTATAGCGTGTAATTTAGTCGAGATTTATATATATGTACAAATTGTAATCCCGATCAGAGTGAGAATTAAACTGTGAAAAAATTTGTTTTACTTTCGTTTATTCAGTCTTTTTTAGTAAGTAATGATTACTAAATGAGTCTAAAGTTTTCTTTGAGCAATTTTTATTTGTTTGTTTTCAAGTAATTGCGACTAATGATTTCGTAAACCTGCCGAGGTTGGAGTTCAAATAGGTTAAACGTTTACAAACTTTTAAGGCAAAATTTGACCCTTAGGGGCCTAGTGATATGATATCTATTATCTGACATCGATTATCTGAACACCAAATTGAAATTTTATTTTAATTATTTTTAAGACATGTATAAGTTTTTTTTTGTAGCAGCTGTGCAACGCACATTCAGGAGACAAAGTATATGGAAGTTAGTCACAGGTTAAAAAAAAAAGTTAGAAATCATTCGAGCCTGGAGGTTGAACGTTGAACATCTCTAACTATGACGAAATCGCTTCTCACAGAACCTCCTGTGAAGGAGTTTGTTTTCCCGAGAATTCTCGAAGCGAGAGGTGCGAATGGGGAGAAGATGCTCCATATTCGAGAAGGGCTGACTCTGAGCTTAGAGAAGAGCAAATTGTTTTCGGAAAACTTTGTTTTCTCCATGGTCGATGATGTGAACTACTCCAACAGTTCGGTAAGTGCTCATATCTCCAGTGGGTTTATGTGTAAAAATAGACTCGGGTTACAGCGTTATATGCAGTCGGTGAAACTGTCACTGAAACACTCACACTGGTACAACTCCCCTCCTCGCTCTATGCTTCTCTCTTTAGCGATTGCACGTTATGAATGTCATTCGTTACATATACCTCATGAGAATTCGTTGCTGCCGCCCACCAATTTCATAGGGCGTTCAAGATGACGTTTTGCACATAAAAGAAACATTGGCGTTTACGCAAAATACACTTTCCACCCAGGTCATGTTCTTGGGGGGATACGGTTATGTACAATTTTCCAGCACCGAACTCATAGGCAGTGAGTTCCGGGTTACTCGACCTAAACACATATGAGTTATTAGATATTTCGAACAAGAGATTTTCTGCGAATGCTAAGAAGGCGTGCAACCTTCCACTAGGCAAAAAAACTCTACGGGGAGAAGGAGATTATTGGATTGATCTCTATAACCATCCTCTGGCTTTTGCGGGATTAATGTCAATACCATATAAGACTGTCCCTTCAACCAGTACCAAAATCAAAATTTGATGGCATAAACTTAAGATTTGAGCTCTGATCATTACAGCTGCTTGTACAGATGGCTTTCGCCGTGACGCAGAAATACGATCACCGTGTTGCTGAACGGAGAGTGACGATTGATAAGTACTGGTTTAATTCATTGTCTGAGATTTTATAGACAATGGGAGTGACATCTCCTGAAGGGTGCAAGCTGTGCGCACTCATTCAAGTTAATAAGATTTCTCTGTAAGTGTTTATATTATATTTTAAACCCAAACGAGACTTTTTCTAAAATATATATGTAACGACCAAATATTTAGAGGCGATAATTTCTGTAAAATTCGATTGGTACATATAGCCTTCCGTACACTTATAACGAAATCGTAAGCATGGGTCCGAATTCGGCGCTGCCAAGAAGGTTGCAATTCATATGCTTCCTATCCTTATATAATTTTGGTATATTACGCCTATTCAAAGTTTAGTCATGGTTTTTGGGCTATATTTGATATCTAAATAGCTCATAATGCGGTTATTAATAATGAAAGAGTGTTTCTAATGACGTCTGCAGCGCTGCAATTAATACTCTCGCGTTGTTGCCAGCTGAATGTCAAGCAAATTGAAGAGAGTTTGTACCAGGACAGGAAATACGGCTCCTCTCTTGTGGTCCAAGAATTGAATGGATATGTCCAAGTGGTATGATATGCTCGTGTCATTACTCATGAAATTTGTTAATAAGACGTTATTATAATCTATGCCATAAACTTTTTAATACCTTATTCTGAATTTTCCTTTGCAGAGTGGTATACTCACCGACACCTTATCAATCAAGCCAGTACCATTTAATCCCCGATCAAAAGATGGAATCGTTGCTCACTTGATATCAACGTTTAATGATACGTCAATCCCAATGTATGCTGATTATGGTAAGACCCACTTCACGCTCTTATCATAATTGTTAGCTACCAGTAGGATAAAGCCCTGATCGTTTTTTTATTGATCCGAATATTATCAAGATAAATATAAGGTTTTTTATTGTGTGAACTTTTCGGTGCCGCGCAGTTATTTCTTTGTTCTTCCGTTTTCCGAAAACATACAACTCAGGTGCATTATTCCTCGAATTTTATTTCCTTAAATTTTTGTAGTACGTGAACCTGACTTTGCTATTATAATTCCATATAAAATATGTTTACGGTATTATTATATATTATAAATCAAGTAAATGATTGCAAGATGCAATATATTTTTGTAGTGAAATGTTCCTACCAAGCGGAAACAAGCTACTTTGTTTTCACTCCGTTCTGAACAAATATATGGCAACAATTGATTCGTCAGACAAATGCAATTTCGTTTTATTTTGCAGTTGATTATACAAACGTAACACAACGACCATTTTGGGGCGATATCCACAGAGGTGAGTAAAGTTGAAACGAATTTAATTGAGCATTGACACGACATAACGCAAGTACTTTGAACAGAACCTTAAACAGAATTAGTATTATTTGGTATTTATAGCAACCTAAATATTATTACGAACATTGATTAAAATAATTGATTTTAACGCGACAGTATAGAATATTACAATATTCTTTATTCGGCGCATTTTCAATCGCAAAGGTCAATAACAACGTCTCGAGTTCTTATGCTCATGCTATGCCGAACATGTTGTTAAAAAAAGAAGCTTATGCTTCACTTGGAACGCTATCAGACCGTTTGCTTTACGTTTAATTGCTGTATGTAAGGTCATATTGCGTTTGTGCGGCGCAGTATGGGAGTCATCGTTCTGAATTGATATTCATTTTTTGGCATTGCGGAATGTATTCACTGCTTCACTGAAGTTTAAAAAAAACTCAAGTACGGTTATTTTTTTGTTTATTTAGAGCCGGTGGGATCTAGTCAGGACTGAGTAAAGTATACGAAGTTGTTTTACGTAAATTTTTGTTCTTTGCTTTTGAACCGGCCCTTTTTTTTTCATAATCAAATCCGGAATAACAAAAACATGCAGAGGCATGGGCAAAAATTGAACTATTGTCTGATTGTTAAAGGCCTTGAGAAGTCGAGCAAGCCAAAGTCGGCTAAACGTTACCATTCTTAAGGAACAGTCGGCACAGGGATGGGCAGTATTTCAAATACAAGTATTTGAAATACGTATTTCAAATACTTTGTGTATTTTGCATTTGTATTTAATTACAAATTGGGTAATGTATTTGACGTGTGTATTTAAATACTAAAATGTGGGTATTTCAAATACAATTGTAATTAAATACAATTTTGTGGGCGAAAATACATCCCTCAAATTTATTGCCACTGTCCAGAGCAGGAAGAAAACTACGTTCTGCACCGAATGCAGTGTCTCTCAATCAAGCGCAAGCGTTTAAGGACTTTGTGATTACGGTGCTAGTCCCGGGCAAGAATAGTGACGAAATCGACGTTCACAGGCTGACTGGTTAAATAAGTGCCTGTGACAACTTGTGATACTTTCCAGCCTAATTTCCCTCCATATTTTTGCCTTGAACATTCTAAACGCGCGGGTCGTCCAGATTTTTTTTAACTGGAGCAAGTTGCAACAATAAAAAACTTATGTAGCTAGTGCTGCGCGTCTCGGTCGTCTCGGTTCTTTGTTGGTCTATACCAAAATGTAATCGACAAAAAAAACTGCTTGAAGCGTTGTAATTTTTCCACCTATTACGTCCAAGCTGATTACATTTTTTGTGATTATATTTCTATTACGTTACTAGAGCCTTGCACACTAACTCCCGAGTGTGCAATGCAAAATTAAAATGAGATACCCAGAAAGCCGTTGCAGGTGCCCTGAAGTCGCTGACGAAAATTTTGAGGAATGTATTTGGAAAAGTATTTGGAGGAGACCAAATACATTTCGTTTTATTTGTATCTTGTATTTAAATGTTTTTTTGGAAATGTAATTAGATTTGTAATTAAATACATTTTTGACGAAGTATTTTGTATTTGTATTTCGATACATATTTGCATATATTTTGCCCATCCCTCAGTCGGCATCTTGGCCCTAATTCACCAAACAAATGCCATAGTTAAGATTCATTCTGTGGTTGTTTGGATGTCAACTGAAATATTTGGACCAAAATCGCCAGTTAAGTGCCAGAGTTATGCTCACTGCCACATTATTCTACTCTCATCTGGCAACTTTGGGCCAAAATATCCCAATAACTTCCAAAGTGAGGTTTCACTTCTCGAAAGTTTTGCAATGATCTCGCCACTCTAGGCCAAAGTAACCAAACAAGAATTAGATTTAATTTTTCTGCCTGGTTGTTCGGATATTATATGTGACCTGTGGGCCTAGATAGCTAAGCAATTGTCAACGTTAGGGTTAATTTTTTCACAGTTCGTCTGGCCATCTTTTGGCCCAAATCGTTGCACAAGTGCCAGACTAACTCGGCCCTCAAGTGGCTGATAGGAGACGGGTCAATCTTTGGCACTCTCTTAAATTCCTGAATTAAGATTTATTTTGTAGCTACGACTCAAGTATGGTACTTACATTTTCACTCTTGTGGCGGGGCGGGCCAGAGAGAAGTCAAACCTTGACATACCCCAGGATCGCCGAACTAGCGCTATAGTCAGACAAAGTACTTTGACACCGACAAGCGCCATGGAGCAAAACCTTACAAGGCATAAGTTAGGCCCCTATGCTTCCTATGCATCTACCAGGCTAGGCGTTTTTTTATGTTTACTATAATGCACTGTGGATCCCCCAATAATGCTTTAGATGTGCAGGAGCGTGTAAGGTTTATAAAAAAAGATAAAAATCAAGCTTTTTCTTACAACGTTTCAATTTCAAATTTTATATTAGAGGGAATACGACGCTTGCGACAAATAGTTCTGATTGAAACGAGAATACTCTACGACGATGCTCTTCAAAAACAGAAAGGAAGTAATCTCAATCAATATTTGGGAATAGTAATGAATAAGGTAAGCCTTTATGTAATGAAACTTCAGACGTTATGGATGTTATGGAAACCAAGTTCCGGGCGTAATCGTTTGAGTTACGTCGTCATTTGTGTCATCATTGAACTTATCAATGTGTTGTTGTGAAGATATTGATTACATGACTGAAGAGACTACGTCATTCTTTCAAGTGCAATTGGGGCGAGGGCTCACGGCTGCCCTTTTGAGCATTCCCCAACCTTGGGCATCTATGCCATGGCGCACGCTCTAAATTTGAATTTTCCTGAACATACACGAACATCGCAATGTTCAACGGCAATGTTTTATATGACAGTCATAAAATTTATGTAAGCTGTATTTAAAATTTACGACACATACAAAGCTTTCTTCCTGGGCTCCACAATTTTTTGTGCATTGTGTCGTATGAATTACAATTCACCAAACTGGTAAATTTTCTTTTCTTTACGATATATCGTAATGTTTCCCAATGCCCGGGACTGTAAGTACCATTGAATGATAAACAAAATTTAGTGGGAATTTTCATTTTCTTCTGAACCCATTTTCCATTGAATGTCCCCAGAAGTTGGCCATTAAAATCTTAAAATTGTGCTACGAAAACTGGTGACTGATTAAGAAAGATCTAACAAACTGCTAGATTTTAGGAGGAATTGTTCATTTGATTTTAACACTAATTGTAATTTCAGTCAATACTGAATTTTTTAACACGGCTGTTAAAACGTATCTATAAAATATCGATTGATTAATTTTATTTGCTTACCGACCTAAGCATGATGACTATCGCCTTTTCACTTGTCAGCCGAGCCCAATACGGTAAATGCTGCACACGTATAATCCCCCCCCCCCCCCCTAAGAATACCGGTTCGTAACAAATAAAATGACCTGTAAAGGTCAGACATTTGATAACCACAAAGAGTTTCTAAGTGCTGCGAAGAAATGCCGCCGCAATTTGCGCAGCCATGGGCCCATGCCGGCTGTCGTGGGAGCGTTTTTGACCGACAAAAAATTCAATCGGCAGTTTTTCTGTCCTACCTTTTTGGCGCGTGTAGATTTGGCCTTCCGCTTGCACAGCTCAGGCCAGTTTTATAAGATAACAAAATTCACTTAAGAATCATTGTTGTATAAGACAGAAATGAAGAACCAATTCCACGTCCAAAACGCTCCAAAATACTGAACTCAATTTGAAGCTTCCATGTGTGTTGGCGTCCTTTAGCTCTATGCAGTTAATTGATGCACGCATTTTTTCTTTATGAAAAAGTTAGTTTTCAACAATGCAAAAAAACGATTCCTGAAAATTATGTAGTCCTTCGAGATCATCTTTACACAGATCAACCTTTTGACGGGTTTACCTTGGCAAGGAAGCACTGTTCTAACCTCACCTATTTTATGATTACTTTACAAAAAATAGAGTTGTCTCAAAGTTAAGACTATGTCATTGGATTTGCCTTGCTGTTTTCACACAAATACATTATTTAGGCTAGTGTTATGTATTGCTGCAACGACAACACCTCGGCAGTCAGGGGTTGTTCAGAGAACGTTTATTGTCCTACGGAAAGACTGAAAGAGCTGCTCCTTTCTCAGAGCAGTCGATTAAATTTGCTCCGTACCAGCGCTTCCACCCCCTGACGGGGCAGGATTCAGCCTCATCGTATTGTATATATTGGCAGCACGTCATCCAAAGAAGGAAAAGAAACCAGCCATTCACGTTTTGCACATATCTTCCGCTGTAATATATATACAAGTAGAATGAGACACCGCAAGCACTATGCATTTATAATTTCCTATGTTATGTGCAATTATTATCGGTTGAGAGTGAGTTATCGTTTAAATTTGGATTTGTTTACATCAAATCTATTTTTACTCTAAACGTTTCTTTATGGTTTATATTAAACTACATACTGAATCATGACCGGCTCAGATTTCATTATTAAATCCTCGTCTCACTACATAAGGAAGAAGGGATTTATGGAGAGCACTTGCTCAGGGCAGAATTGATCATAAAAGTTTATCAAAGTATGCTTTATCTACCTATGTTATAAAAACAGTGTTATTCGTTATTCATGCCTATAACTGCTGCATTTATTTTAAAAAAATCACCAATTTGCGAACAAACAGAATGTACATGCATCAGCTCCATCAAATGTTCATTAGCATTACAGATTATTTAACATCCAATACAGCCCGCAGTGCTCTTATGAATCATAAGATAAATGAAAAGCGTACTAAGGAAACATTTTTGTTCAGGGAAACTTACGACTTGAAGCAAAGGCACAAACAAAACGTGAGACAGCTGGGAAATATTTTTATTTACCGAATACTCATCGGCTAACCTCATACTATATTATCGCTAAACTTAACGAGACACAAAGTTATCGATACGTAATCAAACTTATTTTTATACAATGAAAGTTTTCAAAACAAATGATTTCCTCGGCGGTCATTAAATCAATTGCATAGGATTTGTGAAACAGATTCAAGTAAACATTCCAGAAAAAAGTTTAAATATTCCGTGTGAATTTTTAATTATGGGCATAAAATTTTGTTTTTCTCTTTCATCTGATGTTCTTTTACTGATTCAACATGTGAATCCATGACAAGTAAATGCATGAAGAGCTGTGTTCTCACGTTTCGTCTAAAGCGGAAGGGCGCGTCTCAACACTTTCAGTGACTATTTGATATTCCTGGATTCACCGACTCAACATAGCCTTACGACATTGACCGATTCGCCAATATAAATATTTTCTGCTTAGTATGTCTTTATTATGATCAGCATTATTCTCTCTTTTACAGGTTAACGTGTTGTACACTGCGCTTCAAACCCCAAGGCCTCATTTTGTCGTTGTTGGCATTCATAAATTATTGGTACGTAGTATATTGTTGCAATATTAAACTGTCACTTAAAATACTAATTTTAAATGCCTTTCATTGCGTTTCAGAGTAAATCACACTTAAAATTAACTCCTGGCAGACAGTTGAAGGTTTGCAACTCTTTAGAGCCCCTTAATAAGTTTGTCTTCCGATCATGGCGGCGTGATGCTCACGATGTGGTGGCATTTGTCTCAGGGTAAGAAAATAAAACTTAACGCGATAATGTCAACATTAGCCAAAATACCTTCATGAAAATGATTATGTGAATTTCCCAACAGATGTGTTTCAAGAACGAGTATGAAAATTTCATTTTTCGCTTGTTTAATGCAACACCGGATCAAGAAAATTGGAGATTTCAAATTTATTAATTAATTTATTTTCACACTCTCAAGGCCCGGAGGCTCTACAGAGAGGAGTGGGCGATATCGATGCAATCTTTGGCAAGCTTCTTGATGTATGAAGTGTGCTGGATGGACGCGATGAAGACAGGGAGGTTGTTCTAATCGTTAGATGTTCTTGGAATACCAACCTTTCACTAGATCACTGCAAGGTGACACTTATGGCGCATGAACAAGTAGTTGATCTTTTAGAATTGGGTTATTATAATAGATTTCATAGAAACGACAAAGACCAAAGAAGTTACGGCGTAAAGCAAGGTGAGGTAAGTTCAAAGTTGTCGTCATTGATGAAACACTACCAGTACGAAAATAATTAGAAAGGATAAAACGGGCTGCTCGGGTCTGGACCGATTCGAGAATGTGTGATAATGTTACATGTCCCGGATCCCATACGGACTAGGCGTATTCGAGTTTTGGCCTAACTAAGGTTTTATATAATTGCAGTTTGACCGTAAGATTAGCAAAACCAAAGTGGCAGCGCAAAAAAACCAAGCATAAGATTAGCATTATTTAAGACATAGTCGAAGTGCATCTTCGAGGATATGGTATGAGGGATATCAACTCCAAGATACTTGTATAAAGCAACTGCGTCGAATGGTATATTCTTGAGGATGTATATGGCAGAGTCAGTGTTTGCTAAGAATCAGGAAACACGCATGCTTTTACATATAGTAACATTAAGCTTCATTAGTGATTTGCCGCACTAGGAAGAAACTACTTCAACGTCTGACTGCAGTAAAAACAGTCTTGGGCATCAGTTATTACGTGGTACAGTACACAATCAGCCCTGAACTATTTAATAGAGGACACAATTTGCGATGGTAGGTTGTTAATGTGTAGCAGAAACAAGAGAGGCCCCAGGACAGATCCCTATGGTACCCCGGACTTTACAGGAGTAGAGGAAGAATTTCGCTCTTCGGCAGAAACATAATATCGGCGGTTAGATAACATAAGTTAATCTAGCCCATGATGTTAGGATCAATATTAAGTTTACTCAGTTTCAAGGGAAACAGGTCGTGCGAGACAGAGTCGAAAGCCGTAGGCAAATCTAAGAAAATGCGGTCCACTATTAGCTCGGCATCAATAGCAACTAACCAATCATTAGTAAACAACACAAGCTGTGTTTCACAAGAAAACTACGTTCGAAAGCCGTGTTGGCAATAGACTACTTCCATAAAGCCCTGCATGCAACACGGCGCGCGTTGCTCTCTGGGAACTAGTTGGCCAGGGAGGAGAGTGGCATGGTTTCGGTTTCGATCGACACGTCGACAAGAGATTATACACAGAGCGTGGACTATTAACGGCCGTTATCTCATGTTTTCTGGTCCCAAGAGCGTCATTTGTTGTCTCTAAATTAACCTAAATGGCCAGATCTCGAAGCTTTAGCACAAGCCCGAGACATATAGCTTGTCTTAACATATGCTTGTTGTACATGAGCCTTTATGTTAGCGTTTCGAGCTATGGTGAACGAAACCACAAAATATTTTATGGCGCAAAGAAATGCTGTCAAAACTCAGTTGGTCACTCGCTTAGTAGCATAAATGTACGCTACATGCCCTATTTTTTAACGTGACTACTCGACGTGCAATGCTGCATTCCTGTGACATCACGAATTTGTAAGACGGGTGGAAATTTGAATGTTAGTTATGGAATCATCTTTTTACCTATTTGTTAAGAGCTTCTTACAATTAACGAAGATAAACTAATCTGCTGGGACGACTAAAGTCAGAATATTTAAATATGTTTGTTGTTTGATTAGGCCGAAATATTGTTGCTGCACCCGCTAAAGTAGGCTGCACGAGTGGTCTTCGGACAGATGAGTGGGTTAGGGCAGCACTGCACGGCACCAAATTTAGACAATAAATTCTAGCAGAACCTCTGGAATTACGTATTTAACGCGTGTAGTTTTCCGGGTTTATTACAAATATGCGAAGTTTTTGAAAGAAATAGCGGGTTTTTTATTGAAAAATTATTCAACGGCTAGCCTAGCTGCTGTTTCATACTAATGTGGCTCTAGGTGTTTGGATGAGATGGCAAGTTTTCAATCCGTACCTTTAACCAATTAAACAAAATATAATTAATTTCAGGGGTTTAAAAAAAAGGATTTGTCTCCATCGGAATTTAAAAATGCATATATAGTAATGTCCTCTGCCACCAAAAGTTGGGCTCGCATTTATTTGTATATTTGCAAATCTCATGTATGTTTTTGTATAAAATAACTGTGCGTTTCCAAACGTAGGCATTGGGTCCCAACGGCCAGGCATAAATTCTCTGCATCCGGTACCAGCGTCAATGTTTGGATTCTTGGCATCTGGTATATTTGGACAGAAACTGAGCCTTCAAAAATACGTAGGTTATTTATAGACTATGACCTAAACAGAACTTTCTGATCGTGAAAAAGCCCAGTGCCAACAACGAGTGTTCATGGGTGGAAATATTGATGCATAACATATATTACATTAGCCCCTATAGGAAATTAGCAAACAGCCGTAATATTGACCAGATATGTGTGATTATCATTTCCCAGCGAACGGTATTTCTCGTTTCAAGAAATACGTTTAACTAACCTACTCTCTCTCGTTTTCTTTTTTTCCTCAGGATACCACCTGATCCGCAAAACGATAATGTAGTAGGTACGTTAAATCCTGCCATATTTGTATTTAGAATTTCGATGTCTGTGATTTTTGTTAGCACACCCACCCGGACAGTGAGAGGCCCAGAGTTGAAATACTGGCGCCGGCGTTCATTTTGACATGCAGCGGTTTAGTGAAGTTTTGGGTCATTCGTGCCAATACAGTTGATGCATCTGCATATCTTTTCATTATATATATACATTATATATATACATATATAAACAGGGTAATTCACGAAAAGTGGACAAATTAAATATTGCAAAAATTACGCGTCGTAAAAAAAAAGGCTGGTGTCGTTTTGGTCCTGCGCCAGGGGCCTATATAGGAAAATTGTTAAATTCCGGGATAATTAGGGGGTTACCTATTTTTGCGTAATTAACTTTTTTAATATTGTGTTTAAGGGCGTAGTTTTCATTAGTAACTTGCTCAGTATCATAAAAAAATACAAAATCAACAAATTGCAGAACAATAGAAGGCACGCGAAACATTTAAAACAAAGCATTTAGAAGGCACGCGAATCATCTACAAAACCGCACAAATTCGACGGGTTTTTTAAGTTTCGGTTTTCTATCGGAGCGCATCTCGGCCTCGGCGGCACCGCGGCCCGTGGAAAGATTGTGCAACCAACCTCTGCTGCGCTGTCATCGCGCGACGCAGCGGAGGCCGGTTTCATTATTTCTCCACGGGGCGCGGTGCCGTCGGGGCCGAGATACGCTCTGATTGCAAAACCGAAACTTAAAGACCCGTCGAAGTTGTGTGGTTTTTCACAAAACCGTAAAATGCTCGCGTGCCTTCTATCGTTCTGCAACTTGTTGATTTAGTGTTTTTTCATGACTCTGAGCAATTTTCTAATTGAAACCATGCCCTTAAACATACTATTAAAAAGTTAATTACGCAGTAATAATTAACAATCTAACTATACCGGACTTTAATAATTTTTCTAAATAAGCCCCTGGCCCAGGACCAAAACTACCCAAGCGTTCTTTTGTTGCGACGCGTAGTTTTCGCAATATCGAATTTGTTGATGTTTCTTGAAACACCCTGTATATGTATACGCATATACTCTATTTTACGTGCTATAGACAGTACTGTGCTGAACTGTAAACATAATTCAATGAGCATACCTATTAGCCGCCCTTCTTTATATTTGAATACCCCACCATCCCCGCGACGCACTCTTGAGCTCACCCGGCCTTTGCATGAAGTTGACTTCCGCGATTCTCAAAACATCAAAACAGCTCTACTGATAGTACAGTGTTTGATATAAGGAAATATATTTTCAGGATGCACTAATATCTGTGGTGTCTGCTCGAAAGGAAACAAAGTAACCGTTCAATCGGTTCAGGGATTAAGCGATGAATCATCTGCACGACTTATAGCCCATGAACTGGGTCACCAGTAAGTATTTCGTTTCGAATGCCTGATCTCAACCCTAGATAAATAACATTTCGCCCTTGGACTAATTTAAATACCCTTTTCATTCTTGGAATATTAATATCATATACGCTGCATAGCCTATTAACCCACAGGAAGAACGACCAGAGCAAAATATTACGTTAAATAATTTATATCAATCCATCTTTTATTTCAATTTTGTTAAGTTTCCGGTTCGGAAGATTTGTATTTTTTTATTTGTTTATTTACAAAAGAAAACCTGCAGCGCCGAAACTTCGTCAAAATAGCAGGTACAGTTCATGAATTCATACGCTTAATAAAAAACTAAAAAGGGCAGAACACTTGAATACACATCCTGTCTCGCATGAAGGAGAATACGTAAACGATAAAAAATAAACAGCTACATTAAAAATAAAAACCATTTCCTGACTTATATGGTCCCACGGCTTCATTACTAAAAAGACTCGGGTAACAGGTTCCACTGAGCGATTGCGTGTGGAAATAAAAAAAAAACTTTTTTTAATCTTTTTTACAGAAAATTTTTCTTATCTGCCTTGTATGATTTACACAATTTGAATAATAGGTTGTTCTGTGTATTTTCTTTCATCAATACCTGTCAAATGGATAAAAATGGCGAGCAGTAACCTCAATTTAAAATCTCTTCGTTTTAACAACAAACTTTCCTAACAAAGTACATTTTTAATCTTGGTAAGGCTATTGGTTCTTCTATAATTTTCTGTTACAAATCTCGCCGCACGGTTTTGGAGTTTCTCAAACTTATCTGGAATGTACGTTTGGTGGGAATCAAACGAAACACATGCGTACTCCAGTGCTGGTCTAACCAAACAACAGTAGGCTGTCTCCCTTACTTTATGTGGAACATCACGAAAATTTGAATATGAAAATTTATAGTTCGGCTGGCCTCAGCAGTTTCAATGACATGGATATTACAAAAAGGTTGCTTGACAAGGTAATCTTAAATTATCTAACATCAGTGTTATTACATAATTTATGATTATCAATAAAATAACGTGATGGGACAGGGTTACGTTTCCTTCCAAAAATGACTTGCACACATTTATACACATTCAAGTCTAACTCCAAAATCCTGCACCAATCCGATATTCTATCCAGAAACAACCGTAAAAATGACGTTCCACTAACATTGTCAACCCCGCTGCACAAAACACAATCATCCGCAAACAGCTTTTAGGCAAGTTAATGGTAGATGCTCTATCATTATTAAACACAATAAATAAAAATGGTCCCAGCATTGACCCTGTGGCACTCCAGAAGTAACATCAACAAAGTCTGAGCTTGCGTCAATTACGACGACACACTGCTTTCTCCCATGCATTTTCGGCAGCTTTTGGCGAGGATTATGATGCTTTCAGCACACCAAAAGAAAGCTTTATTTTTCGAAATATTATAACATCATAGAACTAGAAACGCATGTATAGTTGTTTACTCAACACTCACTAACTGCTTCAGGTTACCGCGCCTATCACTCACACAGGGAATACGCATGGAAGTGCTGGTTACATTGTAGGAACACAATATATATATATATATATATATATATATATATATATATATATATATATATATATATATATATATATTGTCAGGCTCTCGCGGTGAATAGATGAGTTTATTACAATGAAGAGAGATTTGACTATGATCATGTCGCCAGGAGAATCGTTGTAGCTTTCCGCTCCTGCCCGAGATGCGCGGGGCCTTTTTGGTTTAGCCTCACTTCCTCTTCCTTCCTAACAGCTATCTCCCCGTTGACAAAGGGCCGGTCCGCCGGCCATGCTGCTAGGGGACTTGGCGGGGGTAGCGTTTCAGCCGGGCGACGTGGACGATATCAGTAGGTTTAGAGCGGTTGTCTCGGGGCGGAATGACTGGAGTCACTTCATAGTTCGCTGGGGACAGTTGGCGAGAGATGCGAAAGGGGCTTCTGAATTGTTTTTGGAACTTTTCGCATTTTCCAGGCTTGCGAGAGGGCGTCCAAATGAGAACCTCGTCACCAATATTGTAGGTAACGCAGTGCGGATCTCGGCGTGACGAATAATTTGTTCTGTTTTGATTCTAATGTTCGTATGCGGGAAAGTTGCCGAACTTCTTCCCGGCGGTAGACGATGGCTTGGGTGTAAACGTCCAGAGAAGAATCGTCTATGTATGGCAGAAGCGTGCCCATTGTAGACAGTGGCTCGCGTGTATACAAGAGGTGATACGGAGAGTGAACGGTGGTGGCTTGACGGCTGGTATTGTAGGCGTATGTAACCCATGGTAAAATTAAATCCCAGTTGTCTTGGGCATCTGTCATATACATGGATGTCATGTCGGTCAGACTGTGATTAAACCGTTCCGCCAAGCCATTTGTTTGTGGATGATATGCAGTGGTGACATTATGAATTGTGTTCACAAGGCGGCAGCATTCTCGAAGAAGGCTTGCTATAAACGGCATGCCGCGGTCCGTGATAATAGATTTGGGGGCGCCATGTCGAAGGAGGACGGAATGAAGGAAAAAAATGGGCTGCATGAAGAGCTGTGGCGGCGGGGAGCGGTGCGTTTCGGCATACCGGGTTAGGTTGTCGATAGCTACAATTATCTATCGACTCTTTTCTTGTGACTGGGGGAACGGACCGAGGAAGTCGTGTTCTATGCGCTGAAATGGGTGGCTTGGTGGAGAAAGCGGCCCGAGTGGTCCAGGAGGTGCAGTTGTTGGTCGTTTTGTTTGCTTGACATAAATGGCATGCGCGCATATACTTATTAATAGTACGGTGCATGCCGGTCCAGAAAAAAATTTTCACTGATTTTGAGATAAGTTTTAGATAATAAGTTTTAGATAATGGGGTCCTCGTGATTTGCAGCTAATATTTTCTTTTCCAAGTTTCTTGGAACTCCAAGGAGCCATAGTCATCCTTGGGCCTCGTAGTTCCGTCTATAAAGGATGTCACTAGGAAGAGTGAATAGACGGGCGCGTCGTGTGGTGCGTTGAGGTCACGATGTTGGTTGGCCTTCCAAATAATGAATCAGAGGTTGCAGAGAATCGTCCGAGAGTTGCACTGTAGCCACATCGATGTTGTCTAGAGTTGCTGTGTCATCTGGACCTTGTGCATGAGGAGGAAGGTGCGCGTCGTTTGGAAGCGGACATCGAGAAAAGCTGTCTGCGTCGAGGTGCCGCTTCCCTGATTTGTTATCGACTGTGAAGATGTAGTCCTGGAGCTTTAATGACCAGCGGCCGAGACGTCCGGAGGGATCTTTCAAACTAGCCACCCCACAAAAGGCGTGGTAGTCAGATACAATACGGAATGGGGAGCCATATAATTAAGGGCGACACTTGGATACAGCCCATATGACGGCTAAGCATTCTTTCTCGGTAGTAGAAAAGTTGCGTTCAGCTTTGGTTAGCGTTCGACTAGCGTATGCTATGGCGCGCTGCTGGCCGTTGTGAGCTTGGGCGAGAACAGCGCCTATTATATGGCCACTGGCGTCAGTTCGGATTTCTGTGGCTTGACCTTCGGCGAAGTGGCCAAGAGCGGGAGCCGAGGCTAAGGCCGTCTTGAGGCGTTCAAAGGAGGCTTGTTGGTTGGTTTGGACCCCATGTGAAAGCGATGCCATTACGTAGAAGGTGATTGAGAGGCTCAGTAATATTGGAAAATTCCAGAAGAAAATTTCTGAAGTAGGTGCACAAACCCAGGAATGTCCGTAAGTGCTTGATGCATTGTGGGGCAGGGAATCGCGATACCGCCCGCAGTTTTTCTGGGTCCGGTCGCATACCGTCTGCGGTGACCAAGTGGCCGAGGACTGATTTTATGGGTAACGAAAGTACATTTCTTGAAATTTAATAGCAGGCCAGCAGTACGCATGCAGTCGAGGACTGTACGAAGCCGAGATAAGTGTGCGTCAAAGGTAGAAGAGAAGACAACAATATCGTCGAGGTAACAAAGGCAAATGTTCCAGGTAAGGCCAAGGAGGAGGGTGTCAATCTTGCGCTAAATGTCGCAGGCGCGTTGCAGAGGCCGAACGGCATGACCTTGAAGTGGTAAAGGCCATCAGGTGTTATGAACGCTGTTTTAGGCCTGTAAGTGGACGCAGGAGGAACTTGCCAATACCCGCTTCGAAGATCCATGGATGGAAAGTAGGACGACCCTTGTAGCGTGTCGAGGGTATCATCTATTTGGGGCAGTTGGTATACGTCTTTTTGTGTCACTTTGTTGAGGCGGCGATAGTCCACGCAGAAGCGCCAGGTGCCGTCTTTCTTTTTGACAAGCACCACGGGGGAGGACGGGGGGCTAGATGGAGGTTCAATCAGTTTATTCTAGCATGTCGGTGATGTGATCTTGAATCACTCTACATTCTGGGGCAGATACTCTGTGTGGTCTGCTTCGGAGTGGAGGGGAGTCGCCAGTATCGATGTGATGCTCAACAAGTGTGGTATGGGTTAACACATGGCCCCCGGAATCGAAAAAAATCTCTGAATGAAGTTAGGAGGAAGCGCGTCTGGTGTCGCTTGGCTTCAATGAATGTTAAGCCATCACCTTCTCTACTGCTTCGCTCGAATTATTTTCAGTCAACGGTTTGGTACAGGGGAATGCGGGGGCAAGTGCAGCAAAGTCGTCTTCATTATGCACCTGAAGAGTGGCAACGCGGCTACCTCGGGGAAGGATCTGGCGCTGCATCGAAGTGTTCATTTTTCAGATGTGACATCTGTCGTCTGTGATTGTGGCGACATCATAGGTAATGACGATTCCTTTCTTATTAAAACAGGTATCGATAGGTTCAATGAGGCCCACAGTTCCTTGAACTGGTTTTGTCATGACCAGTGTTGCAGCGACGGCCGACTGAGGTGGTAGGAATAAATCATGGTCGGTGTGAAGAGCGGCGAGTGACGCATCAGAATTGGGACTGGGGTCGTCGGTGGAATTAAGGTGAATTTCACGAGTGGCGCAGTAAATGAAAGCGGCGGCTGAAGATAAAAAATCCCATTTAAGAATGACGCCTGTGATGCAGCTCGAGAGCACGGTGAACATTACCACATATAGGTTGCGGCCCACCTGCAATGATGCTGTACAAGATGATGCTGTACAAGATCCGAGCGGCTGCACCAGTTCGCCATTTTTCATACGCAACAGGTGCCCCCCAGAGAGGGGAGTGAGGACTTCGGGCAAGCGCCTATAACATGTCCACCGAAGCGTGAAAGTTTTGTCGTCCTATTTCTACAGCTACGTTCGTCGGTCCAAGAAACGGAGGATTTTCTATAATATGTGAAAATGCAGCCTGACCTTCATTGTCGATGCAGGCTCCGGGGTTTAGTTTCACTGGTGCGAGGGGGAAGGAATAGGATCATTGAAGAGCGAAACTGAGCGGAGGCGAGCAGGATAGGCTGACGGTGAACGACCACGGCGGGACTCTGCCGGCGCGACGGGGCTGGGCGAACGGCGGTCATGAAGAACTTGTCCGGCGTTAATTTGTCTGAATAGGATGCGCAAGAAGCAGGGAAGGGCCGGAAAGAGGAGTTATCATTGCGGCGGTGGTCATAGGAAGAGCGGCGGTTTCCGGAGTTATTGCTGTACTGGTTGTTAGGGGCTGGCGGGTAAGTATCGCGATGCGGCGTCCGCAGTACCGGAGAACGTGACCGAACGAGTTGCAATAAAAACATACCGGTCGGTTGTCCTGAGTTCTCCAAATGTCCGATCGGCGACGTGTTTGACTAGAGTGCCAGGGTGGTGAGGCGGATGGAGGCGGTTTGAAGCCTGTATCTTTGCAAAAATATATATGCAAACAAACTTTTCATTGAGTGTTTAAAACCTTACTATGTTTAGCCGTGCAATGGACTCCGGGGACCGCAATGAGCCATCCCTGCAGTCCAGCGCTGCGAACGTCTAGACTACGCACATGCTCATCCCATTGCCACTCGCGAAGGTCATGTGACAGTCAGATGATATTTAATTGAAAACAATGCCTCATAAAACCCTTCTAATCCATCGACTGTAAAGAAAGAGCAAAACGGTCGATTGGTCTCCGGGAGCGCGATGTTCGACTGCGGTATCGATCTTGTTCCAGTTCGACACAATTCCGCTCTCTGACATCGGTCTCGAATCGGGTGCCTGTTCGGTTTGAGATTATAGTTAAAAGTACCGTACATAGGACTTATCGTTTTAGGTGATATGCTGTTATTGCTTTTACTCCTGCCTTTTCTTTTTTTACAACATGCAGAGTGGGAATGAAACACGAAGGAGAACATGGTGGAAATCATGGTCTTGACTGCGGCCTGGGTTCAGGATATGTGATGGCCCCAAGCATAAATATGCCAGGACGCTCTGCATTTTCTCACTGTGCCCATAACGAGATGAAGGACTGCTTAATGTAAGATATGATATATTGCTCGCACATACAATTCTCCAAGATAGTGGATACTCGCTGAGCATCCGGTTATAACCTTACTTTTCTTAAAATCAATGCTGCTCTGTTTTTCTACAGAATGTCAGAATAAAAAAAAAAGTGAAAAAGGGAATAAGGCGAGCGACGTTGATGGTTTGAGATTATCATTGTCTTATTGGCAGGTTAGATTTTGTTTCTCTGCAGTAGTGTTTGTCACTAACAGATTTGCAAGCATAAGTAAATTTGAAAGCAATGAGAGTGCGCTATGTACGTCAAAGTACGCAGAATTCAAACAGGAAACAAACACCAGATGCAAATCTAGCCGCAATCTTGCGTAAGGTCTGACAGTGTATCATACCACTGTCTCCGTGGCGTCGACATTCCAACAAATCTTGCACCCGTGTATGCAGGCTTTTTTTTTACTAAGTCAGGATTTTTTTTTCGAAAAAGCGATGTAGTTTTAGTGTTGTGCTAAGCCATTTAGTAACTTAGTGTTTATGGTGGCGACATAGAAAAGGACGAAATGGGTTAGCACTTAGCAGCTGGCGACTTAACTGTAAACTCTTAACATTGTGTGAAATTTACACTTTCAGATTTTTGTACACCTTTATACACCTTCGTACAGCTTTATAGTTTAGCCGTGAAGTCCAATAGAGCCTTTTCGAAAGACTGCCCTCTGTGGGAGCTGCGCCATTCTTGTTCAATGGCGGACTAAACCCATAACGTCACGGCACAGTTTTTGAGTTGGGTTGAATAAGTAGGCGAAAACACTCACAGAAAATGGCGATGAGCGCTGTGGCACTGCACGTTTAATGTGTCTGATTGGCTCGTACGCTCCTAGCGTTGACCGCGCATTAATACATTTGTGTGTTTTCCTTTTTTCTGTTTTTTTTTTTTTTGTGGTCGGCCTCGGGTTTAGCACATTTGAAGTGTTTGTAGCATTTTAACTTAAATTCTCTGGAAAGAAATGTATGGAAAATCTAAAAGCTACCTTCTGTTTCTAATTTTTATGCTTTTGGCCATAAAATGGGGACGCGTTTTGGACACGGGAATCTTTTAAAAGGAGTTTTGTCTGAAGAAAGAAAGGGCTGAATGTTTGGTGTTTCAGTGTATTTACTAATTTATTCGGATTAATAAAGCCTAAAGTTCAATGCAAAATTGTGTTTAAAAAATCTTTTACAGTGGAGCACCTATAAAAAGTTTAAATGGCTTCTAATATCTTCTGCAACGAGCGAAGTAGTTACGAAATTTTACCATGTTTGTGAGCTCAGGACATGTTGTTTAAGTCCTAGTCAATCACGAGACCGACAGTGACGGGGCATTGTTTAGCGTAGTACGCTTCTTTTAAGTTGAAGTGTCCTCGGGAATGTCTCGTTACAGTCTGGTATAGTTTGGTGGACAATCGTAGCTGACATTCTCTTTCGCAACCTACTGCAGACACCAAAACATATACCGACACGGATAACTTAGAAACAGAAGCGGACGAAACAAAAAATCGCTAAACAACGTTCAGTAATTTTAATTGTTGTACTTAAAAATGTTAAAAAACAAGTAAAATGGGTAACTATACTGAAGACAATTATTGTAAAGGTTAACTTCTCCTGATATAGCGCAGTTCGGACGTCACTATACGCACCGCCTTTCTGTGTTCGTTAGACTCTTGTTTCTTTATCATGTGTTTTGCGATTTTTAGGGCCATCTTGTGCCCTAAACCTGATATTTGCGTTATGAATATAAGAATAGAAACTACACCAAAGCGCGATAATTCAAGTCTCGTGTTTTTTAGTTAAAGTTATTGGCGCATTCAATAATCGATTCTCATACCAGGCAAACTTTTCTCAGGAATTGTTGCGTTTGAAAGAGGAGAGAGATTGAATTCGGTTGTAGAGAAGCACAAAAATATTTGGAAGCATTTATCAAGTACTTGTGACAAAAAATACTTTATGTTCCCATCACTTATTTGAATATAGAACTGGCTGAATGATAAATAGGTGCAAGAATATTTTCACAGCACAAAAATACAGGTTGCTTGTTTTCACGAAAGAGACAAACTGAATGGTGCAATGCACCATATGAAGTAACCCGCCATAGCGAGTACTCTAGCCAACCCACTCTCCTTATGCAAACATAGGGCGAAGTACACCACCATTCGCTTAAAGCACACTGAGCACCAACGGCAAAGCATTCTTTAAGCGTTTTGTTCATTTATGTGTGCGCCCTTTCTAGATAGTCGACATCAGTCCAGCTCCCTAATTGTTTGTTCGCTGTCGAGAAAAAATATTTTTTTGCGTATATTTTATATTGTTTGTTTGTTGAGCGTATGCATTTATGGGCATCTCATGCTTTGAATATTCGGGGCCACACATGTTAACACAAATCGAACACTAACAAATTTTAAAAAAAAGATCTAGAGTGAACACTCTGTACTACAGAAGCAGAGGGTTTGAATTTAAAGATGTTTTGAAAAAAGGGCACGAGTCCACTTGGTATTCAGAGTGTTGTAGTATGCAATCGTTATAATCATTTGGATTTTAGAAATACTAAAAACTCGCGGAGAGACCGAAGGTGCGCTAAGGTTTCTACATCTGCTGCAGAAAACAAAAAGCTGGCTGTGTCAAAACTAGGATAATATTATTATAATCAGGATTATCGGACTGTTAGTTTTGCGCCTGCTGAAGGAGTGGTAACGGTAGTGCACCCCCTCGCTTCCCATGTTCCGGTGTTTGCTGATTTCTTTACTTCGCATAACGTTCACCAAGGGTTTGCTAATAGCAAGTGGCTTTATTATCGCCTGATAGGTATTTAGTTTTCTAATTACTATGTTCTTTTTTACATTCCTTCATTTCCGCTATAACTGTCTGTTTGTTCCCGATTTGTTTTTCTTCCTGAACCACCTATTTTCGGTAATTTTTGGTCTTACTGGCAACACTCGACAATTTTACAAAAATGTATTTGCCTTACAGAGATATAAAAAACCGTCATAGCTAGAAAGATGCAGTTTGTACAAATGAGCTATCAATGCCCGGGACATACTTTAGAGGATATTCCTGTCTGGAAGTTCGCTAGTTAACTAAGATTCGTTAAATAAAATTTTAATTTCTAAAAATTATTACATAATTGTATTGACAAACTTGCAGAGTGTCATCGAAAACTTCTAAGCCACTCAATATTATAAAACAGTCGTAGGGCCTGGGAAGCGCGGTCGTGCGCCAAGTTACCACCTGCGGAAGACAAGCAAGGCTCTAGGCTCAAAAACGCTCCCGCGAGGATCGTTAGAAATCTATTAGTCGCCATTTCACATTGTTTTATCAGCGCTGGTTGCACGAGGGGCAAGTTTAGCGCACTTGCGTGCTTTCAACGCAATCCAAATATTGTTTAAAGCATGACATGCTTTTTAACACTAACCCACATTCCCTAAAGTTTGGCTATCCGTCCGAGCATTTTCCGCTAAATTTAGCGGGGAAATTTCCTTCACCTGAGGTCACGCGGCTTATACACCTTGGGCATATTGACGGCACGTGACCATTGTATCATTTTAATTACCCGTTAAATTTAGCGCGAAAATTTACGTCTTGTGTCCCAGACACCAAACCCGTTTCTCCTCTAAATTTAGTGGAGGAAGTCCACATCACGTGACCTGAGGTCACGTAAACCTTTACAACCATGTACAAATGTACTTTACGTGACACTACAGTTTTCTCACCAATTATCATTAAATGTTTTCGTGCGTAACAGGACTTTAAAAACGAAGGTCGCTGGCAATTTTTTTTTTTCATTTACTGAGTTAGTTCTCTTTAATGGCGCTTAGAAAATTTCTACATTGATTGATATGGTTATTTTTAATATTTATAAACCTACGTAAGAAATTTTACTTAATCATCCCACTTTTAGATACGACTATCCTTCCATATTATGTCCCCACGTCTATAAAAACCACGTGCCCAAACCATATAAATGTAGATTTAATGGTTTTAAAACATGCATTTAATCACTAAAACAACCAGTATTCCCTTTGCAGTCTTTAGTGTTACTGTCGCTTATCATAATGTAGCCTATTTGATACATTTACTGAGTTTATGTTTTATCTACTGTGATGTTGCTGAACTATCGCCACATTTAACTGTATTTTTGTGTTTATTATAAATTTTTTTGTTACAGGGCGAAAGACCAAAGGTGCCTTGCACTGACGGCAAAAAGACCATCCTAGAAGAAATATCAAAGAAAGTCCACACGGAACATCTTCAATTACCTGTAGCTTGCACTAGAAAAAAAATCTACAATTCTTTTAGGCACAATGCAAGCAAAACAATAAATATTAATTATCACAGCATAAGTGCGAATCTGTTTCGTCAATCGACAACATCCCCAATATGCATGGCCAAGACTCCTGGAGAAGGCGGCCTAGTTTTATGTTTTTACGCCACGTGTCATATTAGCCTTAAGCGAGATATGAACGCTTGGCTTGCCGATATCTTAACGTCCCCTTCTTTGCACCTTTCCGTCCTCCATCCTTTCACGGTTTTGGTCCGGCTGCCGCTATTAGAGACAAAATGCTTCATCATGCATAAGTTGGAAGCGAGTGGGGGAGGGGGGAGGTATTGTTCGCTGAATGCGAAGTCATATGGGCTGTCTGCGAGCCTTGCAAGGTATATTGTTTACACCAAGACGCTAAAGGTGAAAATATATTTTTATTTACCCTCCCCCCCAGCTCCTCAACCCACCCCCCCCCCCCCCAAAAAAAAAGTATAATGTTAACCATTTCGTCGTTTACCCTGAGACTGGGGGGTTTTTCGAAGAGAAGAAGTAGCAGAAAACTTGGAAACGTTGGGAGTGTCCGCTTCTTTTGTGATAGAGTGGAACCTGAAAAGTCACGGTGCAAAGGACAAGTCGTATGTGATTGGTTGTTGACGACGAAAACGAACTATATAAGAGGAAGTTGTTGAAATAAACGTATAGCTGAGTTTGAGACCTGTCTGTTTTTTCTGCTACTTCTTCTCTTCGAAAAACCCCCCAGTCTCAGGGTAAACGACGAAATGGTTGACTTCCACCAGCTAGCCTGTACTTTGACTCTTTTCTCGTATAATGTTAACTTTACTTACGTAAGCTGGCAATATATTATATTCATATTAAAGAAAGACTGTGTCATGCAGCTGTATTTGTACCCTGCATATGTAATTGAGTAAATTGCATTTGCTTGGTTACTCCCGTTCGATTTACCGCTAGCTTTTCTGGGCGAGCTGCTCTGTCTACAAAACCAGTAATCCAAAGACACTTACTAAGAATGCACTCATGTCATTTACTTTTGATCTTAAAATAAACACGTTTTTAAATTGTCAGAATGCTCACGAACGTTTGGGTATACTCAGAAATGTCTAGTCGAGGTTTTCTCTGATACAAAACAATCAAAACAGATTTATTCAATCGTTCTTGGTTACATTATATGAACACCGAAAATACTGCTGTGTCCCGATTCATTGCTGTAGGCTGCTCTCCGGTAGGAGCGCAATAAAAAATAAACTTTCACAACGACTTAAAAAAAGAAAATAAACACATTTACAATTCTCAGTAATACACAATTAGAGCGCAGCTCTTGAGGAGCAGAATGGGGGGGGGGGGGGGCAAAAATGGAGCGTCACGTGTGGCGTCACGAGGGTAAATTTTTTCCGCCAAATTTAGGGGAAACCGTTTCCCGCTACATTTACTGAAGATTTCCCTAGCTTTAGTGACGTCCCGTCTGACCTCGCGTGACGTCACATGTGACGTCACGTGTGACGACACGAGGGTAAACGTTTTTGCTAAGTTGTGAGGGAAATATTCGTCCAATTTTAGATATGGGAATTTTGCCCTCGTGAGGTCCCACGTGTCATCACGTGTGACGCTATTACGTGAAACGACCCGAATGCAACGTGGGACTGCACCGACGTCGATGCTGGTCAAGCCGCAAACGAGAGCCTAAGACCAGCGCTCTCAGAACAAAACTCCTTTTCGATATATTTGTTAATAAAACAGAGGAATTGTTGACGCCCTTTGGTATGATGCTGTTTGTTAGAGGGTAAGGGCTGTTTCACAATGTTGCAGCCGGCTACGACCGAGTGTGACATTACCTGTTATTAAACCTCTTGTGACGGCTGACGACCGTGCCGTCCAGCAGCAATGACAGCCGTAAACGGCTTAAAAAAACCTTTTGGTGGCCTCGGTCGTAAACGATTGCAACAGTGTGAACCAGCCATAATTCCTCGCAGGCTCATTGCAGGGTCTAACAAACTTTTTCACAAACATTCGGACTGCGCCCACGTGAGTATGCGGATAACTCAGTCGACCGAACCGCAAAACAATACTTCAATCGATTTTTATTTCATTTCCAATTATCCAGGCAGTTGCGTTTCGCGATGGTTCCGGCATATGAAGAAGCAACACCTTCATGCAAAAAGTGTTCATCGGCTCCCTCGTGCACGTGTGCATGCGAATGGGCTCATGGGCCATTCGGCGGCAGGCTTGCATGAGCGTGAAGGGGAATTATGTTGGAACGTTACTTTGTAAGCTGTCGCAGCGGACAGTGATCCCTTCTGCGCGGGAAGCAGTCAGTACAGTTTTTCACTCCGCAGTGGCGTAACAGTATATCAAAACCCTTTGTACAGGCTGAATATGCGACAGTTAACGCGCACAAATAATTACAAATACAAACAAAGTGCAAATATTCAGCACTATGATTACTGTTATGTTGGTATGATTAACGGTAAATATTAATAAAACAGGTTAAGAAACACCTTACTGTAGAGTTGAGAACGTATACATGTTACTTTTTTAGTACGCGTACATGTGACCTCTTGAACGTCCGTGTTTGCTATTGAACGTCTAAGCATGAGTAAATGGCCATATCTGCACATTTGTTTCAAATATTTCGAAAGTATATATACCCAACCACTTGTCATAAGCCATTTTACAACTTTTACTGTACCCTAGTGAACACTGTTAATTTTTGTTTGCACAAATAATGTCTATCATAATAAATGTTTAATAATATTATGTTATTAGTTAGAGTACGAATATTGCGATCACACGCACTATTTCTGTTAGTAGTAGCAGTAGGTATGTTCTGCCAATATATATTATTTACCAGGTTGGTTACTGTACTTTAGTAAATGTTATGAAATTAAGCTATCAATGTATGTAAAATTTAACCAAGCGGTTTTGTTTGATATATCTCAATGTGCACTGGCGTGCAGGAATTATTCATATCAATTATCACCTTGTGGTGAACTATTCTTAAAAATATGAGCCGCGATTTCCCACCAGGAGTCAGTTCGATGCCACGCGGTATATTACCCTGGCGTCATTATATGAATGCTCTCCTTGGTAGGCGGATATCAGATCAATTGCAAATGGTTTCCTAACTGACCTCTGACGGGACTGGGGCTGTAATCTATCGGAGGTTGAAATTAACGCTACCGAATAAAAGAAACAGTATAAAGTTTCACCATCTGGATTTTGGAACTGCAAACCTATCTGGATTTTATCAGGATTTCAGGCGTTCAGAAATTATTCCTGTGTCTGCATTCTTGATTATATATCTCCAAAAACAACTGCAGTTCCTTTTTCATTTCCATAATTCATAAAAGGAAACGACGTTATACTTGGTTTTTCGGTATGGAAAGTAAGTATGAAATGACCTTATTAAAAATAAATAAATAAATAAAAATATGCGCTTTGTTGAGACTATAGATTGTGACGATACTCGGAATACCCAGCCATGTTAATTTCACCCCTATGCTTAAAGTGCAATGGAAGCTACGTACTCTTTGGCCAGTCGTACGCCAATCTTTCACGACGTGCTCACGCTATCCTGCTTAAGCTCACAAGAAGAAGGCGCAGTCGAGAAATGAAAGCGAGGCGGTTCATTGGTTGGGTGAGCGGCTAGCATCCATAACACTTTCAGCAAAAAAAAAAAAAAAAATGAATGAAGACAACGAACGTTTTTTACAAAGTAGTAACTTGTCAGTGTCTTTTTGTAATCACGCCACGCTTGGTCGGAAGAGTTTTTGAGCCAACTTTGCTTTTTTACTTAGTCATTGTGGTCCCTACTACGAGTGATAATTAAAATTTTCTACAGTGGTGGTAATTCAATTAAAACTGAAGTAACTGCACATTCAGTGTTTTTGTCGCATGCTTGACATATTGAATCGTCTCCGTCTAAATATTTATGTATCGGGAATCTTGAAGTGGTCAAAAACTTGTTCTCCTATATTATTCTGCGGTATTATAATGGAACCTTGAAACTTAAATGCTCAACTATTGCTCGCTTTAGCTAAAAGTGGTACTTCGGCGTTTCCTTCATAGTCCCCGATCTACTCGAAAAATTGTGTAACGCACCAACAATCATCGCTGGAATAAAAACAGCAATATTGAGCAAAAACAATGTTTTGCCGAAGTTTTAGAATTCACAATCGTAGTCCTCTCCTTGTTTTTTTTTTTTTTAAGTGAAAGTATATTGGCACCTATTAACAAGTGATGTCAACGGAAAACAGAGGCTCCCCCTTTGCAGTCTAGGCTTTGTTCCCAAGTGATTTAAAACAATTTTATGGTGTCAAATGAATGCTCTGGAAGGTCGCTGATGCACTCACGTAGAAGCACAGAACAAATCCAAGGCATAGTCCATTTCTACACTACCCGCTCGACCTGCATGCCTCTCTTCCCCTGACGTCACAGCAGTGAAGAGCGGGTATTCGCCTCGAGATCCAACCGTGTCGCCACCGTGCGGCCGAAATAGGAAACGGGCGAAAGCGGGGATACCGCCGTGCGTCGTCTGCTACGGGCGCACGCTCAGAAGCATGGATCTCGACGACGCAAGCCCGTTCCAGGCTGAGCTTGACATTCCTTATTAAATGTTTTATGTTTTTGTTGCCGTTTCTTCTTATTAAAGGTTGTCTTGTATCGTTTCCCAAGCGTAAAAATTCAGCAAAGCGATTATTATTAAGTCGGAAGCTTCCATAATCTTACTGTGTTGGCTTGTATACAATCGCTGGTCCCACATATTTTTGTTATCTCGCACAAACCATGGCTTTCATAAAGCACTGAATCTTGAGTGGGTCTGTGGTTTGATTAGAAAATTAATCGGGCTGATCGCTATCCTTTAATAGACTAATCAATCAATAAATCCGTATGTTGATTTTTCGCCGGTCATATTGCGTGAAAGAGGTTAAAACTACACATTTTTTATTGGTTTTAGTATGCCATAAATGGCCATATTGCATTCCCATTCTAAACTTCACATTGTGAGTCCTACATAAATATGA